TCGAGGAATTCTGCTTCCAAAGACGCAATAATCTTCGTGCTTTATAACTCTATCCCATGCGGCTGTTATTCTCAAGAGATAATGAATTTTCCTGCTTAGTACTATTGTTAATTACTGCTGTGCTGCTTTGGTTTGGCTGAAATTTCCTTTGTAATAATTGCTTATTGCCAAGCGGCTTGTATGGGATTGTTTGATGTACTTCTCCTCAATGCTATAGAGCTAGCTAGTGCTGCCGCTGTTGGTACGAGAAATAACCTGGCTAGGGATGCATTAATGTCAACAGACGAATGTCTATGTTCTTTTATTAATATTGGCTGATCCTCTATCTGGTTCCAGATGCTTTAATTAGCTTCTCCATTGATGAGTACCTGTTGGCTGTCACCCATCATATTTCTGCTCTCTGATTGAGCTCGTGTTTACATGTTTTGTCTGTAAACCTGTCATGTTGTGGCCATAAGTTGTTCCCTTTTTCTGCCGTGAAATGAAAGAAAGAAAGGACAGACACACGAAAAGAAGGAAGTGGGGGTTCGTGGAAATGGAAAGGGAAGAAAATAAAATGCATAGTTATTACCCTCAACACGGGTTCTAACTATGATAAGGCCTAGTTCAGGTCAAGCAAGTTATTCCTAGTTATTTTTTTATTAATTTATAATTGTTATTTTAAATGGAATAACATTAATTTAAAATAAATAATTTTTTGATAAAAAAAATCAATATTTTCCTTCTTTTTTTTTCAGCATGATACACGAGATTACTTTTCCTTTTTTATTCAACCGTAAAGTCCATCAGATAAGCTGATTAGAATATATAATAATGTACATGGGCGCCCATTTAGAAGATGGGGAATCAAAGACCCAGGCTTAATGGGTCATCCATCTGGATTTAATTTTTTTGGATCTTTCATCAAGATCCAAAGCTCTTGAATTTTAGATTTTTAAATATAATTATTAATATTTTTAAATATTATTATTTTTATTATAATTGAAAGTATTAATATTATAAATAGTATCATTTGTGTTATAAATATTATTATTTTTATTATAATTAATAATATTATAATAAAAATACTAGTATTTGTATTATTAATATTATTAATTTTATTATAATTAATATAATTAATAAATTTGAAAAATATTATTATTATTATTATTATTATTAAAAAAATATTATTTTTTGTATTATTACAGACTAAACCCAAACCCCCCAACTACCTTAATTCTATGGTTCGGACACGGAAACTTACCCCAACCTCATTGAGTTCGAAACCAATTCTAATGATTCCTACTTTAGGATCTAATTCTATTGGGTCATGCAGCATGACCCAATTCTATTGAATCCGGTGGTAGGACTTGCTTGTCCTGGTTTTGGCATTAAGACCCAAGCTTAATGGGTCATATGTTATGATGCAATTCTATTAGTATTTCCTCAAGACCCAAGGTTTCTGTATCTTAAGTTTTTAAATATAATTATTAGTATTTTAAATATTATTATTTTTATTATAATTGAAAGTATTACTATTACAAATAATATTATTTGTATTATAAATATTATTATTTTTATTATAATTCATAGTATTAATATTAAAAATATTATTATTTGTGTTATAAATATTATTTTTTATTATAATTAATATTATTAATAAAATAATTTATAGATTTCAAAAAAATATTATTATTAATATCGAAAAAAATATTTTTTTTGTATTATAAATTTTTATTATGTTTTTTATGAAAATAAAAGGGTGAGCCCGCTACGTAGCGTTGGCACCTAACTAGTTCTCTACTATTGTTAAAATGAGGATCATATTTGATATAAAAATATAAATATCAAAATAAAAAAATAATGATCATATTTGATATAAAAATAAAATGTCTAGTGATGAAATTCTAAGATAAATTAATTAAATAAAGAATTTAAGACCGAATACATCACAATTAAAAGAATGAGTACCAAATTTAGTATAAAAATCAAGTGTAAAGGAATGAATTTGAAAAAAAACTTTGATAAATTATTCAAGACTAAATATATTACAATTAAAAGAATAAAGATCAAATCTGATATAAAAATTAAATGCAAACGGATTAAATTAAAAAATAAATAAATTAACTTATTAAATGATTCAAGGTCAAATACATTCCAATAAAAATAAAAATCCAATTTGACGTAACAAACAAACAGATAGACTCCCTTGTTTTTTTTGTAATGGCCAGCACGGTTTTCTAGAATGAGAGGAGAGAAAAAGGGCAGAACAACAAAAGCAAAAACCCAGGTCGAAGCTACTTTATGTGTTGTCTCCGCATATACGTCTCACTACAACGATGGGAGTGGTGTGGCAAATCAAATCTTGCCTTAAAAGGTGGTGTTCAATGTCATTTGGGCACCACACGCACTATCCAAATGACATAGCACCCACTACATACATATACAACCCCCCTGAATTACCACTAATTCAAATTGAGATTTATAGCAAAACAATATAAAAAACATGAAAAAACCCTTGCAAATAGCCTTAGTTTTTGTTCAAAATCTAATGGTAATTTTGTATTTTTATTGTTAAAAAAAATATATGGAAAAGCCCATTAATACATGTATGTATTTTTTCCTCTCAAGGCATGGCCGTAACTTGACTGATTATTTTTTTTTTTAAGACAAAAGAACTTGAAGGGCATAGTAGTATTATATTGTAACAAAAAAAAAATGGATCATTTTATCCCCCATTATTTTTTCAATTGCAAATGTATCTCATGAAAAACAATCTCCAATTGCATGCTTACTTAGGTTTTTAGAAAGGATGAATTCATATTTATACTTTTCTAATTTACAATAATTTATTTCTTGATGAACCTTTTAGTTTTTTTTTATATATATAATAGTGGTTATTTGATTTCAGTATTTTTTTGCATTGATTTTGTATTAAAATTTTAATATATTTTTTTATTCTATTTGTTTAACCTTATTGTGTTCTTTCATACTTATTTATTGCTTATTAAATTTTATGTTTTTGTGTATGTTTTCTTTATGGTAATTTTATAATTTTATTATTAGTAATTTTCGTACATTTTTTGTTGTGGACATAATTTTTTAACAATTAATATATTTCTTTTTTTCTAAGGGCTTCGTTGACTTTAAATTTATTATTTCAATCTTCTACTTTGATTTGAATCCTTTTATGTTAAATTCTCGAGGAAAAATAAGAATCTTCTCATGTTTCAAATCTCGTTGAATAATTTGGATCAGGTGAGGGAAAAAAAGGAATGAGGGGTAAAGTTGTTTCTATTTTTATCATATTTTAAATCATAACTATTCAAATTATATCCAATAATTTAGAGTAAAATCAGCAGGGACCCCCCTCCATCTTCTCCTATATAAATGAGGCACAAGCCTTCACATTTTATAGCACACCAATAACCATTAGATAAGGTTAACAATAGTAGAGAACATCTGAAAAGAAAGGTGGTGAAAAAAATGGGCGGTGCTAAATGGGCTCTAGGGTTGCTGATCATGGTGTTGAATTTGGGAGCTGCAATTGTGAATGCCATATCATGTACAGATGCAATATCAACTTTGAGCCCTTGCGTTCCTTTCTTGATTGGTTTGCCACCCACGCCAAGTGATGCCTGTTGTGCAGCTGCACAGAAACTGGACAAGCTAGCTTCTACATCCCCTGCTCAACGCAAGAATCTTTGCAAATGTTTCGTGGAAGCTATAAAGATATTCCCTGTTAACCTTGAGAAAGTTCAGCGACTTCCCAAGCTTTGCAAACTCCATGTCACCCTTCCTAGCAACCCTAATGTCGACTGCAGCAAGTAATTTCACTTTCCGTGATACTATATTTAGTTTCTTGAAGGTTTCGATTTGTCTAATATATTCTTGTGATGTGCAGGTTTTGATTTAACAGTGAAGAACTTGTTTACGATGGTGATATCTATCGAGGAAAATAAAGTTGGAGGCTAAATTGTCAGCTTTTCTTTTCACACATGAATCTAATTCACGTAGGAATTAATATGTCACTTGTCTTCTGTTGATCCAGTAATTTATTTAGAAATTGTCAGCTTATTAAAGCTATTCTTATATTTGTTCGAGACAAATAAAAAAAAAGGTTGAAATTCCACAGCCATGGCCCAACTAACCTAATGGTACTAGTTAGTGTTACAAATCAACACATGCTGGGATTTTTAGGGGTCGGGCAGCTGCATTGATATCTAATAAGCCACAGGAGCAAATGGTTTTTAATTAAGATCTGGTGGTTTTCATTTTGGAATCATTTTTTTTTTTTTGAATGGAAAACAAGAATTTTATTAATCAATTGATTTATCGAACAAAAACATGACTAAATAGAAGAGAGAAAAAGATAGAGTAACGAAGGATAAGCCTGAGAATTTATAAAACAAAATATGAACTAGGAAAACTTAATTGGCTTCCCTTTTAACTCCCTAAAAGCAGAAAAATCAAGCAAACCATGCACCCAAATTAGCTTCTCTATCAACCTTGTGCTTGGCTAAATGATCAACTACATAGCTGGAGATATCAATAAAATCACCTTGTAACCACCATGAAATTATGATATTGCTTCCTCTTATCCAAGTAAATGCATTACATGAATTGGACTTCATAATCCAATCCTTATAAGTTGCATAACAACAATCAGTACTTAAAATAAGAGCTTTTTGACCGGTGAAAACCTCAGCTTTTCATTGAATTCCTGAATACTTGTGGAAAAAGAAAAAATACAAAGGAATTTCTCTTAATTGTCTCATTGGACACCCCCAACCCACAAGGGTTGGATTCAGGCTTGCCATACATATAAATATTCCACTTAAGCGAATTTACTACGCACTCTTTCCTTTTTTATCCATTTAAGAATACTATTTGGTGATCTTCGTATGTCTTTTATGGTATAGTAGAAACTCCACTCATAATATGTAACAACTCTATAGGATAATGAGTGATGTATATCATCCTAGTTTGCTTCCACATCATTGAAGATCAAATTGTTTTGAGCATTCCAAATGGACCAAACCATCAAATGTGTAGTTTTACTTATTAAATACTGAGGCCTTACTCTAGAAATAATCCGAGACTATGTTCCACTTAGAAACTAGTTCTAGAAAATATCAAGTCTTGTCTTAGAATTTGAAAAGGTAGGATTCTCTTGGTAGGTAGGTGGAAGACTTTTTATTTATTAAAATCAATATTATCTAATCTTCCCATCTATTATGTCTTTGTTCAAAATTCTATAATGGAGTTTTAAAAACAATTGTCTCCATACAAAGACCATTCTTATGGGTTGAAAAGTAGGCTACAATAATAAAAAAAAAAGTCCTAGTATGAAAGTGCAAAAGATTTTGGTACTATGGATTACTAAAATGATTTACTTAGTTCTTTTAATATATTTTATAATTATAATAACTAGGGAATTTCATGTGTTATGCAACAGAGAAGGTAACTTATTCGGAATTTAATCAAGATATGATGATCTAATTGATAGAATTCTGTGTTATTAAAACTAATTAAAATCGTAGGAGACGTTTTTATATTCCTATTTAATTTGCTTCTTTGGATTGCCTAAGTACCTTTTGGCCTCTCCTAGTTGATGAAATTATCTCTTTAAATTTTTCAGAAGAAAAAAAAGTTTTGATTTTTATAAAGGGTCTAGTGGTTCACATTGTTTCTGGATTTTTATTGGTGTCGTCGTTGTTGAAAGAGATGTCTAAAATTAATTTGTCTGCTGGTACGTATCACCATATAAACTTCCACAACACCAGACAATTCTAGCCATCAATTCACACATGGAAAATGGGGTACTTAGCCCTGATTTTCCATTGATATAACTCCCTGTTTTTCTCCATTTTACACATACCTCGACAAAGTCAATGTAGTCATGAAGTTGATTGTGGGGAGACTGACATGCAATTTACTGGACAGATCATAGCGAAACGACTCTTGGAGTAGTAGACCAGCGAGCATTATATGGTCATTGGTGGCCATAAATTTTACGCGCATGGAAGACTAGCAAACTCAAGACTCTCTTCTTTTCCATCTAAATGAATCCATAGTCAGCAACACTTCTCTTTTGAAAAATGGTAGCTAGCTGGTTAGATCGCCATTTTTCACTCATTGTAGCAGCCATGACAACTATATATTTATGAGGACCGATACACTTGTGCATTGTCGAATATTGTTGCTCTACCATTATTTTATTTTCACTTTTTTCTCACAAAAGAACATCGAGTTCCCTTTTTGATCAATTTAATGCTACGCACTGATCATCAATACCGGTTCTTGCCTTCAAAATTTACAGATGACAGAACATGATCCTTTGGGGGGATTTATATATTTTCAACCAACCTGCTAGGTATATCATATATACAAGATGAGGATTTTAATACTGGAATTGCATATCTGGAAAATGTTACCATAGATTGGTCTTGGATGTTGGAAAAACTAAATCCAAGCTCTGATACCAATGGTTAAAGACACTACACACACCAAGTATTTGAACCTCTCAAGCTTTGTTAATTGATATTCAATACAAGACCTTTTTATTTATAGGAAAATTATAGAAACTCTCCTAATCCAACAGCAAGGATTCTAAGTGCTACTTTACTAAGGATTCTAAATCATTTTATATCGGGGACACTAATTCCTAACTTACATGGTTTGAATGGACTTGGAAATGGACATGAAAATGTCAACGTCCAGTCGGAGCCATAATCTCAGAAAACTCCACTCCTGGGGTTGGATCTGAAATATCAAAGCCACTGCAGCGTTGACCGTCAATCATTATGGACAAATCATCATTCTTCCTCCGATTGACCTCTTTTCGAACAATGCCGGCCTCTTGTTGGCCGGCATCTTCCTGCTGCTTCATTGCAAGCGACAAATTCCACAATACATCACCCATTGAAGGCCTTTCATTCCCTCTATCCGCCAAACATTTCCTTGCTATATCTGTGAAAGTCTTGAAACAGTCAGGAGCTATCTTACCTCTTAGATATGGATCGGTTATCTGATCAAGGTTCCCCATTTGACAGCAATGCAATGCCCACTCAGCTAAACTCACTTTTTCATGCTCTTCCTCTTCAATTTCTCCGATAGGGATCACAGCAGGCCTGGCGCATAGAACCTCAAACAACACCACCCCGAATGAGTACACATCAGATTTTTCAGTTAGTTTTTGACGTCGATAATACTCTGGATCCAGATAGCCGAAACTACCTTTAACAATTGTTGAAACATGTGTCTTAGACTCTGTCATGTTGTTTGGACCAAGTTTTGATGATAACCCAAAATCTGAAACCTTTGGCACCCATTTTTCATCCAACAAGATGTTAGTGCTGTTGATGTCACGGTGAATGATAGTATGTTTTGCACCTGTGTGAAGGTATTGCAGCCCTCGTGCGGCACCAATACAAATCCTAAACCTCTGTTTCCATTGAAGAGGGGGTTTCTGTGTCTTGTAGAGATGATCATGCAGTGTGCCTTGAGCCATATACTCATAAACGAGTATCATTTCTTTTTCCTCCATGTAATATCTGACCAAAGATACTAGGTGGCTGTGCCTGAGCCTTGAGAGCATGGAGATTTCAGTTTGGAACTCTTTCAAACCTTGGTGTGAACTTGGATTGGCGCGCTTTATAGCAATGCTCGATATGCCACCATCAATTGATCCCTTGTAGACTGTCCCAAACCCACTGTTTCCAATGAGTAAGTTATCTGCAAAATTATTGGTTGCTGATTTTGTCTCAGCAATTGTAAAAATTCGGCAGTGGCCTGATGATTGATCTTGTTTAAAGGATTCACGCTGCTCCTTTGAAAGAGAGGAAAAAAATAAACAAAAGAAGCCTAGCGCGCAATCCTATTGCCGTAAGAGCGGCCGAAAGACCAGTCAATACCCGGTAAATAATCACCACATCATTGCCTACAGAAAACTTTGGATGCGGGTCAACCATGAGCCCAAATGGTTGAATACCCGCAAGATTGTTGGAAATGTCAGACAACTTGAAAATTTCCAGCCCGTTCAAAATGGGACTGCCATATTCTGCAGATGATTCATTATTACTTCCTATTGCAACAGATAGATACTCTATGCCTTCACCATACCTTGAAAAGTTCACTATGTAGTCTCTGTAGATGGGAATTCCAGTCCCATGGCTCCAATGAAAACAACTACGTGATCCTCAGCAGTTTGATTGTTGATATAAATGCTGAAAGCTCGTTGGGCCGTCTTGCTTAATTGTTCTCGAAATCTCGCAGAAATGGAGCCAAACAAGGTAATAGAAACCATGATCAACTGGGCACAACCATGTAGCTCGGTATTTGCTTTCAGTTGTGTCTAGAATTGTCCTGGCAGAGGTGTAAACTTGGAGTGAAGCAGCATATGTTGGCACCAGTAAAGTCGAGTTGACTTCAACTTCTGATTCAAAAATACTTGTTTTTCCATCATTACTCGTGAAATAATCATCATCCCTGGTCCAGCGACGAAACATGCAAGTATCTTCTAGATCAGAGTTCACATGTCCTCCTATGTTCATCCTGTACATCATCTCGAGGGCTGTAGAATTCCCCATCAAATAATGAGAAGGCTATCCTACAAGTGAAAATGGAGCATCTTCTTGTATGTAAAGCTTTGATGGCATTGAGACTATCTCAATCCTGTTGATAAAAGCATACGCACCGAAAACCTTAGATGAAGGGGTGAAAGTTACATTTAATATCTGTCCATCCACATTGACACAGAATTCCCCGATAGCATAATCGCTATTTGGGGAATAGTTAGAATAGGATGACTCTGAAGTAGTTATTAGAGTATACGGACCAACTTTGATGGAGAACAAGGCCTTAGATATGTTTAACCCTGAATATGAGACTAGTTTGAAGTAAAGTCGAATGAACTTGGGGCCATCAGAGACACTAAATGGCCAGGTGACCTGCTTGCGTAAGATGCAAGCAGAAATTCTCGGTTTTTCGCTGCTGCTAGGATATACGGCGCATACTCTTGAAACTGATGAGAAATCAATTT